TATTTTTTTATTTTATCTTTAAAGTATACATAATTTTATTAGAAACTTAAATTTATAATATATTTACTAATAATTGTGTCTTTTATTTTATTATTTTAAGATACTTGAATAACATTCTGATATATTTAGACGTGCTAATATTATATATAATCGCCAACTTTAAACTGATATTGAAATTTTAAAAAATATTCTTGTATTTGCAACTTTAGGATCAGTATATATTGAATTATTGAAAATAGTAAAAGCCATTAAGAAAATTCCAAATATTATATTAAATTCAAAATTTAAAAAGAATTGTATTAAAATTTACAATAAACGATAAGCACAATTTGATTCAAAGTTATTTATCCTTAGGTATTTTTTTCATCTATATTATAGAGGTAAGATTATCTGTAATTTTATACTTTTAATTGTTATATATCTAATAAAAAATTAATTATTTTTTTATTTTTAATAAAGCATTAAGGTTTCAATATGAAGTTTTTTAAAATGTCTGCTAATTTGCTATTGAGTTATGGATTAAAAGTATAAATAGTAATGAAATCAGTAGCAAAGTTCTTATAGAACAAATAACTGCTTATAAAAATCAGGAATATCCATATAATGAATTGTTTAATTTACAAGATGGATCTATTCTCAATTGGTGGAAAAATATTGAACAAAGAAATAATCATATTCAAAAATTGTTCTTAAATTGACATTAATTGTATCATCAAGTGGTTGTTGAAAGAGTTTTTTTCAGTTTTGAGTTAATTAACTCAAAAAAGGTGAAATTGGTAAGAATGATTATTTATATACTGTATATATATTTTTTACATATTTAATAAATTATCCTTTTTTAACTTAAATATAAATCATATCTCAGATATTTTTAAAATTTATTCCTACTATATCATTAATGTAGCTACAGAATTAAATTATGTTAATTAGAATATTATAAATAAGAAAATTGAAGATATTATATTTTGAGTCATATATTGCATGTTTACAAAAACAAATATGTTTGATAATGAATATTTTCAAGATAAATCAGATTTTACTCAATCATATATAGAACTAATATTAGATTTATCTTTTAGTAAAATAAATTTGCGTCTTGAAGAATATTTTTATTTTAATAAAAATTTCAACCAAAAAGAATTTTTAAAAAATACTGAAGAAATTGAACAAATTGAGCATGAAAATAAAAATTTTGATATAGAATCTCTTCTTCAAAATATTGAATAAATAGTATTTAGCAAAATTTATAATAATTTTTTACAAATTTACATATTCATGATACATTTTTAATAAAGATAAAATTTGTGATTTAGATGATATTTGTGATATAAATAAAATTTGTAATTTTAGTAGTATTTGTAATTTGTGAGAAATTTGAAAATTTGAGTTTGAAATTTAAAATATCTTCAAACTATTTGAGTTTGTATTATAGCCTTCAACTAATTTGAGTAGCAACTATAACTATTAGATACATTATAATATGATAAATCTAAAAATTTTATTTTATTTTTTATAATTATTAAATATCAAAATATTTTAAGTTTTCTAAAATATTTTAGAAATAATTTTATACTTACAGTTTAAGCAATAATATAAAATTTTATAATTAATATAAATAAAATATTATTATATAATACTTTAACTTAAATATTTAAATAAATATATTGTAAAATTAATTCATTTTTTAGTTTATTAAAAAATTTGTAAAATTTAAAAAAGGTAAATTATATTAAAATCTTAGTAAAATTATTGAAACTAAAGATTTAAATATGCAATTTTATTTGTCACTTTTTAATTAGTTAAAAATCAATTTTATTTTATACTATTTTTTTTAAAAAATAAAATAAAAATTATTTATTTTTTATTTATAAATTTTTTAATAATATTTTTACATTTTTATTCAAACATATATATTATTCTAAAAAAAAAAAAATATTTAAATACATATACTATATTTTTATTAAATTATTTAAAGTATTTAATAACTTATAAAATTATTTATTTTTATAAATAAATTTTTAAAATAATTTTTAATGTTTAATATTATTTTCCAAATATTATAATTATTTTTTTAATTTATTAATAATCAAATTATTAATTTTTTTTAGATTGTAATAACTTACTTTTTATTAATAATTAAATTATATTTAAATTCAATTAATTTTTTTTTTATTAATAAAAAAAATTAAATATAATATAAATAATAACAAGTATAATAACATTATTTTAAATTGTAATTAAAAATATATATATAAATGACATATATTACATTATTTTTTAAAAAAATTATTTAAAATAATAGTAATTTTAAATTATAATTTATAAAAATTATAACTAAGAATTTTTTAAGATAATATATCAAGAAGAAAATTTTAGAATTCAAATCACTATTTTTATATAAAAGTTTATTTAAATGTATTTTATTTAAATTTATAAATAATAAATATTAAATGTATTTATTATTTATTTTTCTATTAAATTCATTTTGATTTTTTTTATAAAAAAAAATTCTATTAATTTTTTTTGTTACTTTAAAAAATTAAAAATTAAAAATTTTAATATTTAATAAAATAAAACATAGTAAAGCGATAATAAATCGCTTGACTTCATTTTAAAAAATTATTTCAAATCAAGATTAGAAATCTTTTTTAATAATATTATAAAAGGTTCGATGAAGAGTAAGTAGCATTATACAAACATACAATAAAAAATTTTTTCATTGGTTATTGTTCAAAGGTCTAGTTTTTCTTGTGCGTTATTTGTAAGCATTTAAAATCAAGTTGTGATTTTTCATTATATCTCCGAAAAATTATTTTAAAATACATTGAAAATTTCCTGATTTGGAAAACGTTTTTGTTTTTTCCCAAAACAAATAAACATAGCCTCAAACATCATTATGTAACATTCATTGGAATTACCAAATAAATACAACATAAAATCGGTCATTTCTTTTACAATTTCCTTTTTCAGGGCCCTTCAGCCAAGCTTTGACACGTGAGAAAAATTAAATTAAATCTCCAAATTAAGGAATATTATTTTTTAATATTATTGGATAGATTGGATTTATAGTTATTTTTTTATATTATAACAAAAAAAAAATTATTTTCATTAGGTTAATTAATTTAATTATAGAAATTTAAATTTTTAATCAATAATGTATAATTTAAAATATAATATCTTTTATATGTTATAATTTATACCTTTATGACATTTATATCGTTTCAACACGATATCACATTTCCGCGGATTTATAAAAAAAAAAAAAAACTTTTTTGATAAACAAACATTTCATAGATGTTACAATTTACAAAGTCGAACCATAAATGGATCAGAATGATGCAACACATCTTTCGAACAAATCAAAACCTCCCAAACAGGTATTTTTTTTTTTGTATGTTTTCGGAGAATTATAATTTTATCCGAAAACGGTTAATGGATAGATTGGATTGATATTGTCAAATTTACTAGTGTTAAAATTAACATTCAGTTGTTGATAATAATGCTTTGCTGTTATTTTATATCCAAGAAGTGAGCTGATTTATAAAGGACTGTAAGTATCAACCAAGTACTTTAGCTTCTCGTCAGTAAGGAATAGTGACTATCAAGTTTTGTTTCTATTAAAATCTATATTTATATTTTTATATAATAATTTTTAATATATAATTCTACGTGATACTTATTAATCAAATAATAAATTTATTCTTTATAATTTTTTTTTTTTAATCAAATATAAAGAAAAAGTTTTAAAAAAAAACTATGATGTCATGCTGCACATATTATCGGTCCTAAATTTAAACTATATATATATTACTAACTATATATGTATAATCAATATGCTTAAGGCGATCGGGATATACAGTATAAATATTTTATTTTTAAACTGATTTGTGTTGAAAAAGTAGGGAATTTTCTTCATAAATATTATTGTTATCATATTATGTTAAGGTAACGTGTGACTTAAGAGAAATAAAAAAGCAAAGAAATGTCATTTATCAGCAAGCTTAGTAATGGTTGCGCCACGCACTTGAAAAATGAATATATATATATACCACATTCTTTGTTTTCAGTAAAATATTCAAAACGGGCATTGGCTTCCTTTTATTTTGTGTAAGTTATTTAAAGATTTGATATTGAACATGAAGTTCAAAACTAATTATTTCAATCTTTAATGATTGATAATAATAGATTTCTTGAAAATTCCAAAGAATTTTTTTTATATAAATATTTTCTCTTTTTCTTTTTTTTTTTTTAAAAAAAAAAGAATATTTTATTGTAAAAAAAATAAATTTATTTTTCATTTAAAAATTAACCTTTTTTTTTTCTTTTCTCGTTAAAACAAAAAAAAATAAACCTTCACTAAATTTTAATAGTCAGAATAAGAGAGAATCAATCGTTGTCGCCTTCTTATAACGATACAGAATCATTAATTGATATGTCACCTCTTCAGTACAACCACTGGGTTATTATTGACGAGTCGTCCTCAATTGCAACTAATCAAAGAAGCAATCTTCCTCAACCTCCATTGCCAATTATCAGGGTTCCATTTCCGCCAAATGTAAACCCAGAAGAATTGATATTGAAGCCAAGGAAAGCAAAATCTAAATTACCAACCAAACCTCCTAATGCATTTATGATTTATCGAATGCAATATGTGAAAGAGTTACACGCAAAAGATTATCGATTACCTATGAGAAGCGTATCGGCTTCAGTTGCTTCGGCTTGGAGAGAAGAACCCGATCATGTCGTAGAGTATTATGAAGATATTGCTAGAGAAGCGAGTAAAATTTATAATCAAAAATATCCAAAACCTACTCTCCAGCCAAGACTTTCTGTTGAAAAGCATGGTCAAAAAAGACGAAATGGGTTGACCAATGCAACTTCACCGCCACTAGGACATTTTAATGATCACGCATTAAATCATAACGATAATACACGCCAAAATCATTATCGTTATTTCGATTATAATCGTCCTTTAAATACCGGAACTACGACATTAGAAAATCATTCGCTCGCCTCTTATCATAATCATAACATGCATTCTCCTCCTCCTTTAGCTATTCCTTCTTTAATGACGGATTACAGCAATTCTGGAATTTTAGGAAGGACTCAAATGCGTTCTCCAAGAACTTTATCAGCCCCTTATTCCTCGACAAATTCAACGAATAGTTTATTACCCGCTAACCTTCATATCCAATTGCCTCACGTCAATTCTTTGTCTAATGCTCCATTACAGAACTACATGGAAGAAAGTTCGACTTCTCCCACCGGATGGGATTTCGCAAATACTCATAATTGAACAATATATATATATATTCGATAATAAGCTTTTTATATTTTTTTCTATTGCGTTTATTTTATCGGACACTCGTATAATTCGTTTTTTTTTTCTATTTCTTTTTCTATTCATTATAATTGCTTTTCCCGTTATCTTACGTAAATAAGTATATAATTTTCCAGCCTTGATAATACGTGGTACTAACCATGGTTCAAAGTACTAGTCTCTTTTTTTTTTAAAAAAAAAAAAAACAAAAAACATATTCGCGTTTTTTTTTTCCTTTTTTTTTTTTTTTTTTTTTTTTTTTTTTTACAAATGCACAAATAACCTTTACATAATTAAAACTATACGCTTAATACCCTCTAAAATAGACTTACACTTCTATGTTTTTGTAATTAATTTCCGCATCACACTTTTATATAGCAACACTTTTTATGATAATTCGAAACTTGTTAATAATAAATAATAAAACCGTACCCTTTACATGTTTAACGCGATTTTGAATATGAATTTGAAGATTTCATGAATTAATTAAAAGTAAAAATAGAATTTCGGGATTTCAGGATCTGTAAATCTGTGCGCTGTAAACATGCAGTAGCATTATGTCACCGAAAATCCAGATCCAATTAAAATACTAACACGAAAAGCAGCAGAAAATGATCCAAATCTCATGATTCATTAAAATTCTAGAATTCTTACATGAGAAAGTCTTGGATTTTATATGCAGGGTTTAAAGATAGGCCAAATCATAGCTGCTTGCTCAATAAAGCTTTTCATTAAAGTAAAACAATCATGATGCAATATTGACTTATTAATATTTTTTTTAAAGATATTGAAGATTCTCCCACTGAAAAAATTTTCTATTGAACTCCAAATTAATCTAGGTATATTTACAAAAAAACACATTCATTTATTTATTTGTTGTACGACATTAATCAAAAAAACATTAAATCAGAAAATATGAAATTATTAAAAAGAAAATTTGGCAACACATCGTTAAAAATAATAACGTTCTTTTTATTAACATTTATTTATTTATTTTGTAAAGCAAATACCAAAAATACAAAAATCATTAAAACCAAAATCGAGTTATTTTTGATGCATGTGGTGCATGTTGAAAATCATGTAATACGCTTTGAAAAAAATTTATTTCCCGAGTTGTTTGTCAATTGATAAATCAATTCTGCATTTATTGGGTCGTACAAATGAAATAAATCGGATTGATTGATTTCTGTAAAAGTTAAGAAATATCACTTGAATTTAAATTGATAAATACTAGGTTTGTTTTTTTTTAGTGGAGAGAAACTTTTAGTTTATTACATAACTTTCTTGTAATAGTGTTCAATGAGGTCTCTGATTGATTTGGAATTTCTTCGCACTCTTATAACTTATGTCGCACCATTTCGTCTAGGCTAACCAAATATATACATACATACATATAATATATCTCACAATTCTTAAAACAACGTTGATTTTTGAAAGAGAGATTATTTGATTCGTGTTCATTAAATTATAGCCGGGGGTTTTCCCTTTCTGGTTTGATTTTAAGCTAGCCTTATTGGAGATCTCCCATTATCGAAGGAAATCAATCCATGAATAAATTCCATTGGGAATTTAATATGTACAGTACTGACGGCAAAATTAAAGGCATGTTCCGATAAATGTCACAATATAATCGATAGAATCGTATGTAATTATGTAATTTATTATGTTATTTGATTGTTTTGGATAAAGTACAATATTAAGATATCAATTTGATTTATTAAAATATACGCGTTTTTCAAGTTGGGGTAGATAATATCAGTGTTTCGTTCAGGTCATTCCGTTGCCCAGATAATTCTGAAACATTGATCTCCCCTTCTTTAAGATTAAATTCCAAAGGAACACTGCATGTCCGAGTTTGCAAACGGATTTTTTCTCTTTTTTGTCTATTTGGTGTAATGTAACAAATACATGAATAGGTTCGGATCAAATCCACTTCAGCGATACATTCCTTGTGTTTGAATAATATAAATCATACATTTCACAAGTGAATCATTCGCTTTGCCCCTTAAACAAAAAACAAGTTTTAAATGAAACAACTTGAAACCAAATCCGCTTCGAGTTGAATGAAAACCTTTTCCATTTATAGAGGTCAATTTGAAATTCTGCAAAGCCGGGTCATATTCATTACAATAATAATTTTCTTTGTGTTTCCCTCTCTTTTTTTTTTTATGAAACAATTTTAATTGGTGATTTTATTTTTAGGTTAATATCCTCAGGTTACACGTAACCTGACCTAGGCTAATAACTTTGCAATATTGGAAGATTCAATGATGTCTTCTACTAACGAAAAAGTGTGATTGATCCTTATTATTTTGTAATACATGCATAAATGAAACAGAAAAGAAATATAAATAAAAACGCGAACAAAAGTTCTTCAAAGTTGTTTTCGATTGATAATGTTAATGACAAAATTTATTTATTTATTTTTTTTTTTGCGGCCCTCTCCTGTATTCTATATGTAGAATTGTAACCAAACAAGGAATTGCAACAAAAACACATGAATGACCTAATCAAGTCAGACGCAATCGAGAAGAAAATTTGTAAAACTATTACAAGACAACATATACTTGTACAACATGTAAAGGATATTTTTTCATGGGGAAATAATCCGATCCATTATTTCGCGCTAAAACGGAGTTAGACTATACTCTATATAATATATAATGATTCATGATTTAAAGTGGCTTATCCATTGCATAATATTTAATATTTATTTAGATTTAGATCAGCTACATATGTTGTACAAAGATGGCTCGGTAACATGAAATTTCCTGAATAAATAACAATTTTTCTAAAATAAAATGGGTTGGCTAATTTTATTGATTTCCTTATTTGTCCTGTACTGCGACTGCGCCTTTCGTTTTTCTAGATGCAAAAAAAAAAGCGTCGAGATAAAAAAAAAAAAAAAAAATTTTTATACTTGTTTAGAGACAAGGGTTAACATTTTGTGGATCTTTTGATGATGTAAAAAAAAATAATTAGCCATTGTGGTAATCGCGTGATCATCGCGCATACAGATGACAATATAATGACATAATACCGTACCCTGCCTTTTTTTTTAAAAGAATATATACAGTTTATAATTTAATTATAAAACATATAAAACCAGTTTCTCTATTTAGTAAATCGATAGGGTCATGTCACTTGACATCGCGTAAATCATAAAGAACCCGAATATGTAGTGATTTGAACAAATTGCATTGTAATAATTATCAGGCCATCCATGCGCGTTTGGTGAAATTGAGTGTTTTCGATACAAAGAAATGCAAAAAAAAATAATAAATAAATAAAAATTAAATGAATAGCTAGTTCCTTCTTGTTTGGCTACATGATTGATTTTGTAAGATGATATAAACAAAGAATCATTATTATTCGTAAACTTAAAGTTCGCAAAATTTTCATGTTGCTAAATTTGACCTGATAAGTGTACCGCATTCAATTATTTTTTTACATTGTTCTTGATAATTCCAACATTCCAAGAATCCATTCTATTTTTTTTATAATATATCTTTTGATTCGATTGTTAGGCTTTCCTTGCTTTGATATATGTAAACTTTATGTTGTGTATACGCTACACAACAACGGAAGATAACAAACAAGGCAGCAATTTATTTATTATAACGCGCTTAAATATCACTTTTTGAACCCCTGCTTTTAATCTTAAACCCTCAAGTGATAATAATTACATGCTCGATCGAAAAAAGAAAAAAAACGCGAAGATCTGTATCTAGTCATGTTTTTTTAAAACGCGTAACTCTTTTTATTTCGCGTAATATTGTTTTAATATAAAAAAAAAAAAATAGACACACCAATCCTTACCGTCGATTAGATTCAACAATCCTTAAAATTAATTCATGTGTGACTGTATGTGTAATCTTACCTCCACAAATAAAATTTGCACGATAGCTCCGTCTGTTTAATCATGTTTGATAGGAACAACTGGTGCGTAATCCAGTATAATTCGATCTGGAAGTAATGAATGTTTTCCATTTTTATCAAATAAAGGAAATTATTCATCGAAAACATAAACAATGCAGATTTTATTACACAATCTTTTTTTCTTTCATTCTTATTTGTTATTACTCTTTTCCTGAATAAGGTAACAAAAATCAAAAAAAAAACAAAGAAAAAAAAAAAAAGGAGTTACTAACATAATGTTCATGCTCGAAACATCCGATTTTCATATTTATCAGGAAATTGATCAATATTAAATAATTCAACTTAATGGGTTAAACCATAAAGCCTTTGAAAAAAAAAAAAAAATACATATATATATTAAAATCTAATTTAGGATGTTAAGTGTGGATTCTTTCGCCGCAAAAAGTAAGTTCAGGTCAGTAAGTCCAAAGAAGTTCGGCCGAATTTATTATCTTTTAATAATATTATGGAACAGGGCAGTGTTAAAATTTTAGTATTTATGCAATGTCGATCTTTCAACTTCCCGGCAAAGTGATAGTGATATGATTTTTGTGTCATATCTCAAACGTATTAATTTTAAGTTGAATCGTTGGAGTATTAGAACCTATTCCATTATCCACAGTATAATAAACGTGTTCTCCCTCTAAAATTTATCCATAATTAGTTGGTTATTTTAACACTTCTAGTTTCCAACTATTGTAAGGATAAAATATCCAATATTCAATCAATCTCATAAAATTTTGATCTGTTGTTTAATTGTTCTTACCTACTAATCGAAATAACGTATTATCATCACCAGGATATATTGGAGAATACGTAGTACCGGAAATAAATCTGAGAGTTTTAATGACCCGTTTTTTACGCTAATTTGGTCAACATAATAAACCTCTTCATGAATTTTTTCTTTACAGAATGTCATTACATAATCTTCGAGAAAAATATATGTCACTCAAAAATGTCCTTCATAAACAATACCTATGAAGTGTCAAAAAAAATATAATAAATATTCTATGATTTGACTTTTTGTTTTCGTGAATGTAAATCTGAAATTACGTTTATAATAAAGTACAAAATTTGTTGTTTTTACAAACGTTGTGCTATGATCAATACCTTGTTTGAAAGAAAATTTACACAAATATACTCATTTTTATGTTTTCCTTTTTTTTTTTTTTTTTTATTGACCGATTTTAAATGACATTGAAATTAATAACGAAACTTTACTTTTAAAGAACCAACTTAGCAAATATCCCTGTTTTAAAGTTAAATGCTTTATAATAGGATTTGCCAATTACTGATTGAAATTCGTTTAGAATATTTAGCATTTGTAAACATTAGTATAACAAATATGATTGAATAAAATACTATGTGTAAATCAGCACTATTTATTAAACACTTATCGCATATTATTAATAATCAATAATTTACTAAGATAAATAATCAAATTTAATGAAAAACATCTAATTAAATAAATATGCATAACAATTAATTTTATCATAAATATTTTGTTTCATTTAAATAAATTTTATTTCTTTTAAATTTTTCATTATTAAATAAATTTCATATCAAATAATTAAAGTAATAAATTTTCATAATGAATTAAATAAGTCTCTAATTTATTATCATTTTTATTTTTTAAAAAAAATTTGTAATATTGTAAAACTTGTCATTTATTATTAATTTTTAAAATTTTATATACAGTCAAAGCTGGTTATAATGAACCTCTTTATAACGAACGCTGGATATAACGAACTCACAATTTTTATATTTTAATAATAGTTCGTTATAAAAGTGTAATAGTTCATATAAAAAACATAGTAATTTATATAACGAACTTTTTTTTAACGGAACCGTCAGTTCGTTATAAAGAGCGTTGACTGTATTTCTTAAATAAATTGCAGGTAAATTTGCCTACTATTTTAACTAGTTATCATTATTTTTAACTTAAAATTTTATTAATTAACAATTTTTTTTTTTTTGATTTTTACTTAAAATATAATGTATTTTTTTTATAAAAATAAAAAGTTGAGATAAAATTTATTTTATTAAGATAAAACTTTTTGTATTATTAAAATTCTATAATTTTTTATAAATATTAAAATAAAATTTCATTTTAAACTTTATATATGATCTCAAAACTATAAAATTATATAATAATATATACTTTATATTATATTCTTTTTCTTTTTCTTTTTCAATACTTAATGTTATAAGCAAATTTGTTAACAAACTTTAACAAATTTTGATAAATTTTTAAGAATAAATCTATTTGTAACAACATGTTATACATTTTTATTTGTAACAACTTCGAAAAAAATCACGTGATATAATAC